GACGACCAGACCACACAATTGGCTGTCAACTGGCCGCGCGGCGTGCCTCAGCGCTCTGCGTGACCTCAGGACTGGTTCCGACTGACAGCACCGCTCGCCGATCGCCGGCAACGCCCTCCGGAGCCGGACCGACTTCAACCCTTCCGTGACAGCGCCCGTCCGTCGAGCCCCGAGCAGCCGGGGACAGTCGCTCGAAGGTGTCCAGACGGGGCGACGAGCCGCGAGGACCATGAGAGCGGCCGGACGGCGGCGGCGGCGGGGTTACGAGTCTCTTGGTTGACGGTCGATTGCACGGTGTGGGCTGCAGCGCTGCAGCGGCGTCTGCCTGGGATACAGCGGCGCTGACCTCACCGTGTGACCTCTGGCGCGGCCTGTCGTCGTATCACCAGGACGGACAATTGGCTCGGCGACCGAGCCCGCTGAGCAGATGGAGGGCCGAGCGGGATGATAGGACGGCCGGGCACTGGGGATTTCAGGAGCAATTCAGATGGATCAAACAGCCCCCTCCCCCAAGGTTCGTCCGAAGCCGATGACGTCTCCGCCCCCTAGCGCCATCCGATACATCCAAAACCAATGACGCCTCCACCCCGGTCCTATTGACGTTGCTCCTCATTTCATCGCCATCCCCGTACACACCCTCGCCAACGCCCCCGCTCCCTCCTCTCGACCTTGCCCAGACAACTTCGGCGCCGCCGCCGCCGCCGCCGCCGCCAAAGAGATAGAAAATGATAACATAATGAAACTTCATGAGCTTTGAAGCAGCAGTGAAACCGAATCCAGTTCCAAGCGCCAATTACCTGGTATAGACGATGGATGTCGGCTCGGCCTCATATCCACATCCGGCATGTGGCCGCTCAGATCGAACGTCTTATCTCGACAAGTGAAAGGACATGGACCCGGTCGGAGTATCTTTGATGTCGCTCATGTCGGGGGCTTTCAATGTGCGGAGGATGTCTTTATATTCCGTGGCCATGGATGACGGCTTCATCCCGACTCGGGATTCTAAGAGAGCCCGGTCGGCTTCATTGTAGCCGTTGCTGAATGCCAATGTCGTCAGGGCGGACAGCATGCTGCAGGGCTGAATTCGGTGCGTGACCGTCCGGTTAGGCCGCAGCCGCAGTACTGATTTCATCGCCACATCCAGAAACATAATGCGCGCCCAACAGTGTGCGCCGATGCCGAGTCATCCAATTAAAATGGATGGCGTACACGGTCGGGTAAATGTTTGATCATGCGCGGCCATAATGAGTAACATGGGAGACGATTAGACTGATTCGGCCGGCTCTCTATTCGTGTATTGACTCTCCTGCGAACGGAGAACGTTGGGTGCATTGGGAACGCCGCCGTCAATGTCTCTGATCAACAGGATATGGACATGGCATAATCGAGTTTAGCGCTGATGCATAGAAATGACGCGTTTTCATAAATCGCCTTTCGTAACAATCACTCATAAATTTCACCAAGTGGTAATGTTATTTCCACAGCACTGTCGTATAGCTAATCCATTCACCAAAATAGAATGATTTTATCACGGTAAATCGACGAAAAACGACGGTGATCAATATTTCATCATCGCTCAGAGGCTCTACCAGTTGGGATGAGACGTGCGTGTGTATGACCGTGCGCACTGCGCAGTCTTGGCTTTCACAGTCACCTACACGTATTCATTATTCCGAATGTGCCTGCATTCGTATATGCGATCACAAATTTTAAAATGCATCTATAGAAGACTGCTGCTGCTCTTCCTCATCTGACTTATCACATCTAATGGGCATCAAAAAGACTGAAGACGGCAAAATCTTCTGATCCGCCTACATGTAAGCACCTACATCGCAATATGGATCCCACCCCACCTCAACCACTCCCTTAGGCAGGATCTAAGCTGCGCTGGCCAATACACAAATGGACGATGTGCGTCGAAACATGGCTGGCTGAAACTTCCTCAGAGGAAGATAAGCTAAACGATCCTAGATTGACCACCCAAATGCGCACAGAAATACCACATCAAGCATCTACAGGCTGTAGAAGAAGGCAATCATTTGCGGACGTTACTTGTGAGGATATGAGTTCCAGAAAGTGCACCTTGGCTGAGGCGCACTCTCGCTGACTGATCTCAAACTGAAATAATGTTTGTATTGATATCGATGCTGCAATTATATAAGTTAAATGCACACAATGTTTTGCTGCAAAGCACGATTTGTTTTCACCCCAAAGTTGTTTTACATAAACTCTGTTTCATGTAGCCAAACTTCAACACCAAAATACACTCAGTCAGCAAATGATAATTACCCGAGATTCACTCGAAAACTTTGAAGCAGATTCTGAACTTGGCCGCTCTGTAATCGCCTCTGTGGGCCGACTGGAGCTCCAAGTGTCGTCACTTAGCGCCGTAAATCTCCGAGCCGTCGCTCTGTTGGGCGGTGGGCGCCGACCAGCACCCCCCCCCTCTCGTCACTGACCCGTCCCCCTCCCCCCACCTGCGGCTACTGCCGTACGTGAGCAGCCGACACGTCACTGCCACCACCGCGCAGACGACGGCGGCCGACACGACCTGACCTGGTCCGGCGCCGGCCGCCGCCGTTCAGAAGCAGGTCATTGCCGCGTTCATTAGGGACGGCGCTGGGCACTGCACATCAGACCAGGCACCCGCCTATTACCGACTCAAAGTATGATAGTCGACTACCTGCGACTTACATAGGGCGGCCTTCACGGGTCTACAGCACTGCCAGACCACGTCTCCTGGCTGGAGTCTCTCCTGTCTTCCGTTACACAATCTTAGAAATTGTGCCATATCTGCTCCCAATACAGCCATAAGTGTCCGGCCTTATTTAGCATTCAGATCGAGTATTTGATTGGGCATGTGCCTTGACTGTTTTTCTGTCTTTGTCCTCAGATTTCACTCTCCAATGTTCCTATCTCTCTCCTCTCTCTGTCTCTGTCGGTTTGTCGGTCTCTCTCTCTCTCTCTCTCTCTCTCTCTCTCTCTCTCTCTCTCTCTCTCTCTCTCTCTCTCTCTCGTTCTCTTTCTCTCTTTCTCTCTCTCCCTCTCTCCCTCTCTCCCTCTCTCTCTCTCTCTCTCTCTCTCTCTCTCTCTCTCTCTCTCTCTCACTCTCTCTTGTTCCATTTCTCTGCCTTTTGATCACATGGATGGATTCTGTACCAAGTCTGGCATTCGCGGTCCCTTTCCTCAGCCCCTTGCGCTTCCGTAATGTTCCAGACACGAATCAGTCATGCCTCACCCGGGTATGGGTGTTATCTGTACCACATGCCTCGTCACCTGTGCACACCAAGCGTCTGGCCACTCTGGGGTCATCCTGTAGGTACTCCTGGCACCGAGCGACGCGACGGGTGGGGTATGACCCCTGGCGGCACCCGGGCGGTGTGGTACGCTGATCATAGAACCGCATTGTGAGCTCACGGGACTGTCGGCGACCTGGGCGTCTCACCCGAGCTGTGGGCTGGGCACCTGTGCCGCCCCCGTGACTTCCGTGACGCGCCGACCTGCCCCGTCACGTCAGGTGGCCGCGGCACCCTCCCTCGCACCGGTCCATATTGGGCCGCGAATCAAGGCCAGGCGTGCTTCTGCGTACCGTGGGAGGAGCCGCACGGACGGAAGCCCACGTCAACAGGTTCAGATGGCCTAAACAGGCCCGGTCTGCACTCACTGTCGGCTGCACGGACCGCCGCGCAGCTGTACCGACGACTGGTAATTACACCCACTCACAGCCGCCGTCGGTGGGCAAGGCCCCACCGAGAGCGTCGGTCTGCCAGCGAGATAGGTACACACCTGTGACATGTGCGATTCCTGAAGTCGACTCCTGACAAATTCAATCCTTCACAAAGGTTTATCCGACGAGTTAGGATGCCAGGTGGACCAATAAAACCCCGGGGAGTCCTTGGGTGGTCCGGACGCGGCTTGGTCCGGCGTGGTCCACTGAATGCGGTCTGGTTCGTTGTGCGGTCCGCGGTCCACTCGCTCCCTGTGAGGTCTGGTCCGTGTGTATAACGCGGCTCACCTCGCGCCATTTCAGACCAGCCTACCGCACCAGTCGGCGCTAAATATTTGCTCGGAAAACACGACCGACGAGCTCCATGCTTGTCGGCGGATATGCCAATGGGCTGTGCAGACCGCACGGAGCTCAACTGCAACAATGCTGAGCGCAATCTGGGCACTGGCACTTAGGCATGGGCGAGTCAAGATGGAACCGCGCTGACGGAGATAAGCCACAGGGATCCCATGTTGGCGTGGGATCCCACATGGCCAGAAATTGAACAGATCAAATTCATTGTTTAGACGCTTCGGAGTGGTAGCTAATTTGTGATGGTAGTAGGCAGAACTATTTATATACACTGTGGGCAGAACATAGTTATCTTGGGCAGAACCTTCTGTTGATCTATGTAGAGTTTGAACGAAATGAGTTTATTTTAATTTAAACCCATTGATTATTTATTTGGTACTGCATTGCAAACCTTTATTTGGTATTACGCATCACTAGCGTGATAATCATCTTCTGGGAACGTTGAATTTAATCCAACCCATTTTTTGTATTGAAATAGGTAGGTCAGACTCACTACATCGTACATTGATGCAAAAACTACAATGATAATGACATACAGCTGATAAAAATACTCTTAAATGAACGTCTCTTTTGACAATGGAATGCCTACCACTCAACGGTAAGTAGCGCCCAAAGTTGGTTTTTACTTCAGTGTACAATGCAAGGTGCCGCAAAACCAGGTAACTTTATGCCATTCTTTAAGCTTCTCCTTTATTCTTTAATGCTATTCTCACACGAGTAGCTAGCCACTCAAACAGTCAGCCAAGCTATTCACGAGATAATATGATCTAGCGTTCCCAGCCACACTAGCCCATCTCAGCGCCTTATGAATCATTTAGCTGATCTCTGTTGGGCATTGGAACTATTTGCTATAAAGAAACGCTCGAAATGGACTAAGCAGGAACAAAACACCACCGCCACCACATTATTGATGAGCACTGACCTTTGCTGTAGACGGCGCTGTTGCCCCGGGCCAGGCACCAGAGGCAGAGCAGAAAGAGCACCAGCACCACTCCGCGTGGCACCATGGCTGCTGACGATACAGACGACCGGCTGCGGCGCTACCGACGTCGGCGCCAGGGGGGCGGTCGGAGGTGCGCCGCGGCGGCCGACCAACCCGCGACTGGTCAGACGGCCGCGGCGCGTCCCAGCCGCTGACCCGCCCCGCCCCGCCCCGCAGCGGAGCGGAGCGGAGCGGCCGCCGGCGGCGCCCCGCCCCGCCGGGGACACGAGGCGGCGACTCTCACAGGGACGCAGACACTTGCAGTCGCGCACAGAAACATGGAAACCAGTTAAGATGCCACTGGTGGTATCCAGATATTTGTAAATAACCTTCCTCCATCTTTGCATAGCCCAAAGTCAGCCCAGGTCATCAACTGAGCCTTATCTTTGAATTATATGAATACGATAGCACCCCCCCAGCCAGCAATCCCAATCCGTTCCCGATCGGGATTTTCGGACTCAGCCCGCACCACCCCGATCGGGACCGGAGTGGGACAGGATTGGGAAATGAGACACTTTGTACGGGCTGGAACGGTCCGGATATCCCAACCTAACCTGCACGGTCGGTTGGGAGATCCCGCACGTATCCGGACCGCCTTATGACGTTTTAACAAGCGCTTAACTCCGATCCCGATCGGGATTCCCCAAATCTCCCCGCACAACCGGTTCGGAAATCCCGCACGCATCCGAACCGCCTTATGGCATTTTAACAAGTGATGAACTCCGATCCCGATCGGGATGTCCCAACTCGGCCCGCACGGCCGGTTCGGGAATACCGCAGGTATCTGACATATTAACCGCAGTCTTATAACCGCAGATTGCTGTTATGCAGATGCGACCACTTTGCTTGCGCCACCGCAACCCCTTCGCCTCTTCATTATTCTCCAATTAAACCTTTATAATGCCTGCACGACAAAATGAATTACATTGGACACTGAAATATATTCACAAATTTACTGGTTGCACACAGGTCAAATTTTTACAAATTCACAGCCTGGCCAGCACATTCATGGCGTCGGCCAACATCTTAGCACCGCTGCAAGGCGCTGGCACAGCGGACTCACTTCCGGTGTTCACAGTCATTATAGCAGGCCTGCGCCTTGTTCGTGTCGGCTCCTCTGCGGACAGTGTGTCCGTGTGCCGTCACGGGCTTCAGAGAGCCACCGCGAAACTATCTGGCATCTGGTCGGGCGGTTCACCACTGTGCGAAGAGAGCATCTGAAAATGACCAAGAGGTAATTAATCAAAGTCTGGGACACACTAAAAATCACTAAGAAATAACCCACATCTGACATTTCACGTGGTATGCCTGGTAATTCAGGTTTCAAACCTACAATGCAACCAACCACACTTGACAATGAGACCAAACATCTTCTGTCCATGATAACTGATCAAACATGCGACAGCACGAGTGTAATTCACATGCCGTACAACCACAAAGAACATAAAAAGATTTATCCCTCGCATGTGTAGGGGGGGGGGTCGGATGGCCCCCCCCATGGTTTTTCGCGAATAACTCGCGTGAAAAGCGGCCGATCGCGACGAAACTTTCAGTACCCTCACATTGATCAATTTTACACCTACCCTGAAAATTTCATGACCCTGACCCAAATGACCTTTGACCTGTGACCTCTTTTCCGAGACCATGTTTGGCCGGAATCGCGATTCTGCGTATGTCGGGTCGCATTAGCCGCGCGTTTGCAAGCTTTTCGTGGTTTCAAACGTTCAAACATGTGATTTGATGTTGCTTCCATGCATTAGGGTGGGTGTCAAGGTCACCTGAAGGTCAGGTCAGGTCATTGACCTTTGGTGACCTCGGGTGACCTCGGTTCACTTTTTCGAGCTGTACATGTTTCTAGGCTAGTTTTTGGAGCTGAATTCGAATTTAGTAACCATTTGAACATTTACGAAGTAGTTTTGGTGCCTTCGTAACACGTTACGAAGCTGTCAGAGGCGGTTGACACGTACTACGAATACCCGTCACGATGCCTACTGGTTGACCTGACCTGACCTGACCCGACCTGGTCTAAATGCTTAAAGACGTCATCTGTGATCAAAACTAACACGATATTCGTGATCAGCACCCCGAAAAACCCCTTAGCAGCCACACTTTACGACTTTCTAACAGGTCCCGATTTTCCCGACTTTGGGTCATTGACCTGACCTGGAAGGTCACCCAATGACCTAGGACCTTAAAATCGGGTATCATCGGGTTCCTCTCGTCACGGGCAACACGCTCGTTTTTTCCGCGAAGCTCTAGCTCGATCAGGGGCCAAACGGCAAGGGGGGGGGGTCCAACCGACCCCCCCCCCCCTACACATTAGAAGCTGGCAAACGCCGCACACATGCGAGGGTTATATTACCTATAGCTTTCCCGCTCCCTACATCACGGATGAAGTGTGCACTATACTCACCCTGTTCTCAAAGACGGACTGATTTCCCTGCAACGACAACAGTTGAACCGACCGCTTGCTAGAGCCAGTTCAAAAGCAATATCCTAAGGCAGCAGCTCAAAGGAGGGATCGACACTTGACCAACGCGGCAGCTAGACTGGCCGCTGCGCTCAGAGGACGCGTCTGCCTGCACGCGGCCCATCTGATTGCTTTTCCAGGCTTTCTGGGCCACCGGATATGGTGCCCGAAGCGCCTTCTCAGATCGGTTGGGATAACAACGTAAATCACAAGCCTGTCTAAACATGGGATTCGATTGGGCTATCCGTACCGCGTCCCAACCGATTAAGCATGCGGTCCGGAAATCCCGAGTCGCCCCTACCGCCGGCCATCGAGGTCCGGTATCGATTGGGACAACCCAAGCCTACCCAACCCGGTAGGGACAAGTCGGGGCATCCGGAGCCTATCCCGACCGTCCCCAACCGCATCCCGGACGAATTGCTGGCTGGGCCTCTTTAGCGCTGGTTTGGGATTTCCGTTGAACTGGCATGGGTTTGGCATTTGTGCAATGGCGAATCGCGCACGGCATGACGTTCCTAGCCTTCATACCGATCACGGATGAACTCGGATCAGTTTTTTTTCTTGGATGCGAACGATGCGAACAGTGCAATTGATAAAACATGTTTTGAAAGTAGGAGCCTGCGTTCCACAGGAATTGTTCCGAATCAAATGGAATGCGGGTGCGTTCGAGTCCCCTCTTGCATCTGAAATGAATGAGCTGATTAATCAATGTCATAATTATTAATTTAAGTGCTCACGACTGTCACATGGTTCAGATAAAAAATGTTTTGAGCTTTTGCATAAGAAAAGACAAATGTCAGATGTTTACGATTAAAGTCATTAAATCATTTTCTATCGATATTGAATGCTTGTCGTGGAGCTTGAATGTACTACATTATGAAGTCGCTGCAACCTAGTCAGGATCAGTGAGTCAGATTGCAAAGGACGCATCACACAAGTCACTTTTCGCGCTGTTTTTTATTCAAAATAATGCACCAGCAAAAATAGGGCTGCGCCCATACGAAAGTGAAAAAAAAACACCTGGCCCACGGTAAGTAAAAGACATATTGAGGATGCTGAGTAGAGATGTCAATCGGATACCAACTTTTTGGTATACCGATACCAAACCGATACCAACTCGGTATTTGGTATTTCCATCCTAATGTGTTTGGTATTTTGTGGGTATCATGAACCCTCGCTAATGTTTAAGAGGCTAACAAATAGGTAAAAAAAAGTTTGTATTTTTCTCATGTTCCAAAGTTGGTTTGGTTTCGGTATTTCTCCACGGTTTTGGTTGGTATTTGGTTTGGTATCGGTATTCCGATTTTCCGTAATTGACATCACTAATGCTGAGCGCATTTATTTGATTTTTAGGATGCTAATTCATGTCAAGCTTTAATCGATACGAAGATGGCTTTTGCCGTCGCAGCATTTTACAATTACTTGATTTGTCTATGGCAGCACGGCTAACCGGCTTATCATCCAGGTTCCTAAGGCACTGCATTAGAGTCACATAATAAATACTTTCAGAAAGGTGTACTTCTGAGACCATCACATAATTGCTATTGAACAAGAAAAGCAATCTTCTAGAATGACAATATCGTCAACAAGGCTCAAGAAGCACATTTTTCTTTTTTCACCGCATATTCAATCTACGATATGAGTCAAGTCTCTCAAAGACGTTCTTATCCTTTGCTTGACATTATGTTCGGGCAAGATCGGCTTGCATCGCTGGCCATATTTATACGAAAAGGACTATCATTGACTGGCAGACCGTCGACCATCTCCACAGGAGCCGTACGGTCCCGCTCGTTCTTTATCACCACAGGCCGTAGTGAGGTTGGGTAAGAATTAACGTCCCTGACGCACACCAGCAATATTCGACAGCGACCAGCAACAAAAACAGCTTCCTGAGACATTCTACATTGAAAAGGTCTTAATAACGTAACGATAGACATTCATCATGTTGTTCCTGATCAAGATGGCCGTCGGTTCCGTGTTGATGGCCATTTTCGCCTGTCCTCTAGCCGTGGTGGCGCTCAACTCGATCCTCTGGGAGGAGCCGATGGTGCTGTTGGTGGCCAACCTGGCCATCTGCGACTTCCTGCTGGGTCTGACGCTGGCTGCCATCGGGCTCGTGGACATGCTGTTCCCGCTTCAGCAATCCACTTCGTGCGCTTGGGTCATGTTCGGCAGCTTCGCCGCCGCTATAGGGATAAAGATGTCGCACCTTCTTCTGGCCGTTGATCAGTTCATCGCCATCCGCTTCTCGCTGCGCTACTACGAACTGATGGAGAGCGTGGTGCGGCTGCTGCTGGCCGTCACCTGGCTGGCGGTGAGCGTCCACCTCGGCGTCGGCATGGTGCTCTTCAACTTCGACCTGGAGACGGCCGTCGACCGCTACAACCTTGACGCCAACGGCAGCCAGCCTCTGAAGAGTTGTCGCTACGAGACGGTCGTGCCCATGATCTACTATAATACTTTCGAGGTGGAGATCCTAACATTGTCCTCCGTCGCTTCCGGCCTCTTTATCTACACGGCCTTTGTCGGCATGAAGCAAAAGGCTCGCATCTGCGCCAGACGCAGCGAAATATCTCGCGATCTCGAGTCGCACAGCTTCTTCGCTAACTACCGAGCATTCCGCAAGCTGATGCGCGTGATCTTGCTGACGCT